ACCAAGCGAAGCAAGATGGAGAGCAAAGCCCGGAAGATGCTCTTCGTAGGATATTCCATGGAGCACAAAGGATATCGATTCCTCGATCGTGAAACGGACCGTATCATTGTGAGCCGCGATGCTCGATTCGTTGAGCTCGGCAATGGGTCATCGTCGTCGGAGATTCCGGTTGCTGTTTCCGTTCCTGAAAAACGTGGATCTGCTGAAGAAGAGGAAGAAGAGAAACCAGTGATCAGTGATGAAGAAGAAGGAAGCGGAGAAGATCCGTCGCAGCAAGAAGAAGAGGAAAGAAGTGATGATGAACAAAGCCAATACGATTCGTTCAGTGACAATTCCGAGAACAGAGTGCAACTCCCAGTTCGTCAATCTTCACGCCAAAACCGTGGGGCAATCCCCAAATATTTGAACGATTATGTGCTAGACTTTTCTGTGGGTATCGCGGCGTGTGCGGTCGAAGAGCCGACGGACATTAGTGAAGCGAAACAGAAACGTGAGTGGAGAGACGCTATGGCTGATGAACTTGAGTCCCATCGGCGAAATGACACTTGGGAGCTGGTTGCATTGCCTCCGGGAAAGAGGGCGATAGGCTCCAAGTGGGTGTATAAAGTGAAGAAGGACGAACTGGGACGAGTAGTGAAATACAAGGCAAGAATAGTGGCGCAAGGATTTGCGCAAAAGTTCGGAGTGGACTTTAACCAAGTGTTCGCTCCAGTGACGCACCAAGCGACGCTTCGTACGTTCCTTGCGGTAGCTGTGAAGCAGAAGATGGTTGTGCGGCATGTTGACGTTAAGACAGCATACCTCAACGGGGAGCTGGATGAGGAACTGTACATGCGCCAACCTCCTGGCTACGAGCTGCCGGGGCAGGAGGAGTTCGTCTGCCGTCTGAAGCGTAGCATCTACGGTCTACGGCAGGCCGCACGCTGCTGGAACAAGAAGCTCCAAGAGGTGTTGGCGAAACTTGGATTTCGTGCGTCTCACGCGGACCAGTGCTTGTTTGTGAAGAAAGTAGGCAGCTTGAAGATTTTCATTCTGGTTTACGTCGACGATATGCTGGTGGCATCAACGGACGACAAAGAGATCCAGCGAATCGTCGGAAGCCTCAAGAACGAATTCGAGTTGACAAATCTCGGAGATGTACGCCACTTCCTAGGCATGGAGGTGCTTCGAGATAGTGGCGGATTCAAGCTGCGTCTTCCGGTGTACATCGACCAACTGATTGCCAAGTTTAGTATGGATCAAGCGAAAACGGCGAACTCCCCTATGGATCCGGGGTTCTTGAAGACGGCGGACACGAGTGCAGATCTGGTTGACGCAACGAAGTACCGAAGCTTAGTGGGTGGAATCCTGTATTTGGCCGTTAGTGTGCGACCAGATTTGGCCGTCAGTGCAGCGATTCTAGGCAGGAAGTTCGCTAAGCCGAGTGAACGTGACTGGTCAGCAGCGAAGCGTGTACTCCGCTATTTGAAATCGACACGCAACTTCTATCTTCATCTTGGCGGAGGCGAGGATCAAGTTCTGTCCGGTTACATGGACTCCGACTGGGCTGACGATATCGAGACAAGACGATCAACTTCCGGATTCGTCTTTATGTTCGGAGACGGTGCGGTCTCCTGGGCCAGTCGACGGCAGTCCTGCGTCACACTCTCCTCTATGGAGGCTGAGTATGTGGCGCTTAGCGAAGCCTGTCAAGAGGCTTTGTGGCTGAGGAAACTTCTGCGAGATTTCGACGAAGAGCAACGGAAGCCAACCGTGCTGCGAGAAGACAACCAAGGCTGCATTTCGTTCGTTACAACTGAAAGAGCCAGCCGTAGGTCGAAACACATCGACACGCGTGAAAGATTCGTCGAAGAACTGTGTATTTCGAAGCAAGTAGCTTTGGAGTATTGCCCAACTGATTTGATGGCAGCGGATGCGTTCACAAAACCGTTGGGACCTCTGAAGCTGGAACGATTCCGACAGATTCTCGGGATCAAGGAGTAGCAGAAAGGACGCGACATTGAGGAGGAGTGTGGAGATCCAATGGTTACGCCCTTTCCTAAACCTACTCCACATCGCCCACCCCTGGGAACCAAGAGCCGGTGACATCAAGGTAATGTTGTTAGCATTTTACTTTCAGTGTAAACTGATCGCTCATCGCGCATAGAACGTGTTGTATTCTTTCTCCCGATTAAATACCTTTTTACAAAGTATTCCGCGTGTGTAAAGTTATTTCCACTGTGCTTCCGAATTCCCGGTGACCCTCCCGTTCCACTGACACCTGATTCTGTCCATCAATTCGGACAGTGGTCGAGAGAGCTGAAAAGGCGTCCAAACAGAAGCGGAGAGGAGATCGATATTGCGCCGTCATAACGATCGACGTCAAGAATGCGTTCAACAGCGCCAGCTGGGAGGCCATCGCCGAAGCACTGCATAGAATGAGGGTCCCTGACTACCTGTGCAGGATCCTGAGGAGTTATTTCCAGAACCGGGTTCTGGTCTACGAGACAGACATGGGACAGAGATCGATTAGGATCACAGCGGGAGTTCCACAAGGCTCCATCCTTGGTCCAACGCTCTGGAACGGGATGTACAACGGCGTGCTAACGCTGAAACTGCCCAAAGGAGTTGAGATCGTTGGCTTTGCGGACGACGTCGTCTTGACGGTAACAGGCGAGACGCTGGAAGAGGTGGAAGTGTTGTCAACCGAGGCAATCGACATGATTGGTAACTGGATGAAAGGAGCGAAGCTGCAAATAGCCCACCACAAAACGGAAGTGTTATTGGTCAGTAACTGTAAAGCGGTACAGCGGGCGGAAATCACCGTCGGGGAGCACACCATAGCCTCGAAGCGTGTGTTAAAATACCTGGGAGTGATGATCGATGACCGGCTAAACTTCAACAGCCACGTCGAATATGCCTGTGAGAAGGCTTCGAAGGCCATCAACGCGATAGCTAGAATCATGCCGAACAACGCTGGTCCCAGCAGTAGCAAGAGGCGTCTTCTGGCCAGCGTGTCATCATCGATACTGAGATATGGAGGTCCAGCCTGGGTTCCAGCGCTGGAAACAGAACCAAAGGAAACTGAGCAGTACGTTCCGGCTCATGGCCATGCGAGTCGTGAGTGCGTACAGAACCATCTCGTCGGAAGCAGTATGCGTTATCGCCGGTATGATCCCTATCGGCATCACCCTGGCGGAGGACAGTGAGTGCTACAGGCAGAGAGAAGCCGGAAGAGTACGGAAAGTTGTGAGAGTGGAGTCATTGGCTAAGTGGCAACAGGAGTGGAACACGACGGAGAACGGTAGATGGACACATAGACTAATACCGATTCTTTCGACCTGGGTGAACAGAAAACACGGAGAAGTCAATTTCCACCTAACGCAGTTCCTGTCTGGCCACGGCTGCTTCAGGAAATACCTGCATCGGTTCGGACACGCAGCGTCACCCCTCTGTCCGGAGTGTGGCAACGTCGATGAAACGCCGGAGCATGTGGTCTTTGACTGTCCAAGGTTCGAGGCAGTGCGAACGGAGATGCCCGTCCTTAACGTGGAGAATGTCGTTGATGAAATGTGTCGAGAGGAGGACTCTTGGAATGCCGTCAGCAGGGCAGTCACACAGATTATGTCAGAGCTGCAGCGTAAATGGAGAGAAGAGCAGCGATCTAGCAACGCCAGCTAGCGCTGAGAGTACGACAAGTGCATGAGCACAGCCACCCCCCGAAGTAGTCGCTTCACAGTGGTCCCGGGGGGATCCAGGCAGAGGAGAGAGTAAGGAATGGGTTTAAGTGGAGCTGCACTAGGCAACTAGTGGATACCACACCGTGCCACCTTCACTACAGGCCAGGCTTCTTGAAGCTTTCCTAAACCTTACTATAAAAAAAAAAAAAAAAAAAAAAAAAAAAAACACACGCGTACACACACACACACACACATACACACACATACACACACACACACACACACACACACACACACACACACACACACACACACACACACACAACACTCGCATACACACACGCACACACACGCACACACACACACACACACACACACACATATATACACACACACACACACACACACAGGGCTACCAATGGTGAGTTGACAACCTAGCTGTGGTTCTCACAAGTTCCTACCTTACACCTCCCCGTGGTGTAGCCTGGGCAATGTTGTCCTTCTGACAATAGCAAAGTGAGGGGGTGCGACGCGAACACTGGCGCGGTAACCATAACACGGCGATAAAGGAAATGCTTCGTCAACCCGCAGGAGTGCCAACCGGCACATTAGGATCGACGCCAGTAAGATCCTTATTACGGCATACTGGATACGGCATGGAACTATGGACACGACACGGCACAATGGATTGGATACCACGCTACAGGGCTGACAGTCGTGCTATTCTGCTCCCTAAGTAAAGAAGGGTGACACCTTCTTGAAATGGCGAGTGGGCTAATAGTGCGGCTGCCCCCGTCCCGCTAAAACCTTGGCAGGCCTCCGGATACGTTCAAAACTCGTCACCAATTGGTGATTGGTGAGTAGTAGACTCAGATGTAAGATTCCTGATTTACACCGATGTGGCTCTGAACACGGCCCCCATGAAGGACCGTGTCAACCCTAGCACGGCCTCCCTGCTTGCAAATATAACCATGAGATCACGATAGGAGACTACATACAACGAGTGGAGATAGCGGCCCGGAGGGACGACCCATCAGAATGGATAACATTGGAGAAAAAAAAAACAAAAAAGACGAAAACGAAAAAACCAAAAAAAAAAAAAAGGATGGCGGCAAGACGCCGGATAGGGAAAACGGAGGAGCGAACGTGTTCGCAAAAACCAGAAAGCTGCAGAGATCACCAGCGTCAAACCAGGTGACCACAGCGAGTTCCAGTAGTAGCATACCCCAAGTGGAACAGCATGGACCCCAAGGAGAGCAGCTAGGTGCGGTGCCATGCCAAATATTCACACCAAAATCTAGCAGTGGCAAACAGCAAGAATTGCAGCTTGGGAGAATCAAAATGACGGAGTTTAGAAGGAAGATCGAAGAACTCTATGTGTTCGTGAAGGATAAGAACAACATACACAAGGAGGTCAAGCTACTAGCGACGGTCATCAAATCCGGCATAGCTGTGGCAGATCGGGAACTGCAAGAATGGAGAAGAAGAGCCGAAGCGGCCGAAAAGGCTCTGCTTGAGGCCAAGGAGAATGCAATGCTGGCTGTAGCGCAGGAGACGCCGAAGGGACCAACGAACTCACGTCCGGAAAAAAGAGATAGGGAAACGCCAGGAGACGAAGAGGACCCCAAAAAACACAAGGACGACGAATACGGAGACAAGGAGCAAGAAGATGGAGAAGACAATGATTGGCGTAAAGTCGTAAACCAGAAGGAGAAGAGGAAAAAAACTGAAGGAAGAGGAAAAAAGGAAGACGGAACAGAAGTAGAAGGAAGAGAAGGAAAAGAAGAATGAAGAGGAAGAGAAAAAGAAGAAGACGGAAGAGAGGAAGAAGGAAGTCAAGAAGAAGGAAAACCCCAGGCATCATAGGGAGAGAAGTAAGGGCGACGCTCTGGTTATCGAGGCGAAAGATAAAACGACATACGCAGCACTCCTCCGGAAAATGAGAGAGGATCCGGAGTTGAAGCAACTGGGCGAGAACGTGGTGAAAACCAGGCGCACCCAGAAAGGCGAGATGCTCTTTGAGCTGAAGAAGGACCCGTCGGTGAGGAGTTCAGCCTTCAAGGAACTCGTCGAAAAATCTCTTGGCGAGGACGCGAACGTAAGAGCCTTATCGCAGGAGTCAGTGGTCGAGTGCAAGGATCTGGATGAGATCACAACGGAAGACGAGGTACGATGTGCGCTGAAGGTGCAAGGCAATCTGGGAGATGTGCCTATGACAATCCGGTTGAGGAAGGCGTACGGTGGTACACAAATGGCGTCGATACGACTTGCGACGGACGCAGCTAACGAGTTGCTGAAGACAGGACGAGTCAAAGTTGGGTGGTCAGTATGCTCCCTGAAAACTATCCCTCGGGTTACCAAGCAAATGGAGAGATGCTATAAATGCATGAACTTTGGTCACCAGGCGAGAAACTGTAAAGGCCCTGATAGATCGGATCTGTGCAGGAAATGCGGAGAGAAGGGGCACGTTGCTAAAGACTGTATGAAGCAACCGAGGTGCATGCTATGCAGAAAAGAGGACGGAAACGGTCATATGACGGGAAGTTTCAGGTGCCCAGCTTACAAAAAGGCGATAGCGGGCCAATAGTAATGGAGATAACCCAAATAAATCTCAATCATTGTGACACAGCACAGCAACTGTTGTGGCAGTCGACTACGGAAACAAAGTGCGACGTTGCAATGATTGCGGAGCCGTATCGAGTCCCTCCCGATAACGATAACTGGGTGGCCGATAGAGCAGGGATGGCGGCAATACATGTTATGGGCAGGTATCCCATACAAGAAGTGGTGACGAGGTCTTACGAAGGTTTTGTGATCGCCAAAATTAATGGAACCTTCGTATGTAGTTGCTATGCACCCCCGAGATGGACAATGGAACAGTTTCACCAGATGCTAGATGGACTCACCGGAGAGCTCACCGGGCGGAGACCAATCGTCATTGGAGGAAATTTCAATGCTTGGGCAGTGGACTGGGGAAGCAGATGTACCAACGCAAGAGGGTATAGCCTGCTGGAAGCTCTGGCAAAGTTGGACGTCAGTCTGGCCAACGAAGGAACCATCAGTACCTTCCGCAAAGATGGTAGGGAATCCATTATCGACGTCACTTTCTGCAGTCCGTCGTTAGTGACAAGTATGAACTGGAGAGTGTGTGAGGAGTACACTCATAGTGACCATCAGCAAGGTTGCAAATACTCATTTCAGCTTAAACAATGTTTTTTTTTAAATTATGAAGTAATTAGATGCCATGATCATATTTTGAATTGGTAGGATACAAGAAGAGGTTGCAAAGAATGTGTTTGACATATTAAACCTGTTTATTTCACTTCATGAGAGTCACAATCAGCGATTTTTCACAAACTCACTAACTCACTCACTCACTCACTCACTCACTCACTCAGCGATCCGAAAATCGCTGATTGTGACTCATAGAATGCAAAATTTACAGGTTTTATATTTCAAACGCATACTTTGTAACCTCTTCTTGTAAGTTACAAGTAAAACATACCATCATACCATCTTTTGGTTTTATTATTCCGAAAAACATTATTTTAGCTGAAATGAGTATTTGCAACCTTGACCATCAGGCGATTAGGTACAGCTTTGGCCAACGGATACCTATGGCAATGTGGAAAACGAAAGTAAGCAAGCGGAGGTGGCCGTCTGTGTCATAGCAGGGATGATGTCAATCAGCCTTATCATTAAGGAGGATGTGGCGTGTTATGACGCGAGGACCGTTCGAGGGGTGCGCAACAACGCGCGAGTTGTGTCGACCGCGAGATGGCAATTGGAGTGGGAAAACTCCACAAAGGGGAGGTGGACTTACCGCTTGATACCTTCCGTATCAAGCTGGGTCAACAGGCGCCATGGGGAAGTAAACTTCCACCTGACACAGTTCCTGTCAGGCCATGGCTGCTTTAGGAGCTATCTGCATAGGTTCGGACATGCAAGTACTCCCACCTGCCCCACATGTGCTGGCGTCGAGGAGACCGCCGAACACGTCGTGTTTGCCTGTCCACGTTTCGAGCCAGTATCGAGCGCTATGCTAGCGATATGCGGAGCGGATACCAGTCCGGACAACATCGTTCATAGGATGTGTGGTACCACCGAGAACTGGAGCGCGGTGGTGACTGCGGTCACCCACATAGTTTCGGTATTACAACGACAGTGGCGAGCCGAGCAGCAGTTACCTACTGCCCGACCAGATCGTTAGAGTATTGCTAGAGAGGCGCCATAGCGCTACAGCGGCCCCTCCCACGAAGTAATGCCTTCGGGCGGTTCCGGGGAGGCCAAGGGCCAAGCGCACAGGGTAAGGTTTAGTGGGTCGGGAGTGAAATTCTCCCATCCCCACACCCTGAGTTCCTTCTCAGGTGTCTGTGAGCAGATTCCCCCCTGTATAAAAAAAAAAAAAAAAAAAAAAAAAAAAAAAAAAAAAAAAAAAAAAAAAAAAAAAAAAAAAGCGGAGGTGGAAGACGAAGGCATTCGACAAGGATCTCTTTGTAGAAGCTCTCCGGGTTGACCGAATCGTTAGCGAGGGCATGCGACACAACCATGCCGAGGAAATCGGAACCAAGGAACAGACGGCGCCCAGCTTACTGGTGGAACGAGGCACTTAGCACTCTCCGCGATAGCTGTCTCCGAACCAGAAAGCGAGGGGGGCGACACATCTAAATTTTAATTTTAGATGCTCAAAAAATCTCACACTAGCGAATCAATCTTCGAAAAATCTTCTTGCATTTCTCGTATCTACTTGCACCGCGCATCGTCTTTTTGCAGGAAATCTTCAGAATCATCATCAATCTTCTTTATATCTACTGAGCGTGCGAGCAGCTAGCCACAGCACAACACAATCTTTCCTGCAGCGTAGATAGAGTCGTCCCCCTCGCCAGAAAGCGCGTTCAGAGAGCAAGAACTGATGCAGACAGAGCAGAGCGAAGGGTGGTGTTTCGAGCAGCCAAGGCCGCTCTAAAACGGGAGATAAAGCTGAGCAAGTCAAACTGCTTCAAGGAGCTGTGTCGAGACGCTGATGCCAACCCCTGGGGTGACGCATACCGAGTCGCGATGGCGAAGATTAAAGGTCCAACGATGCCCGTTGAAATGTGCCCAGACAAGCTGAAAATCATCATGGAGGGACTTTTCCCGAAGCACGACCAAATGACCTGGCCACCTACACCGTACGGCGAGGCAGAGGCAGACAACACCGAAGGTAGACAAGTCTCCAACGAGGAACTCGTAGCAGTGGCGAAAGGACTGAAGACGAAGAAAGCTCCCGGTCCGGATGGAATCCCCAACGTGGCGTTGAAGGCGGCGATCCAGGCGTTCCCGGACATGTTCAGGATAGTGCTGCAGAAGTGTCTGGATGAAGGTCACTTCCCGGACCGATGGAAGATACAGAAGCTAGTGCTGCTGCCGAAACCCAGAAAACCACCGGGGGATCCGGCATCGTATAGGCCTATATGCTTGCTGGATACAGTCGGAAAGCTATTGGAGAAGATCATCCTCAACAGGCTAACGAAATTCACGGAGAGTGAGCATGGATTGTCGGTGAGGCAGTTCGGATTCCGGAAAGGGAGATCAACGGTGGATGCAATTCGGACAGTCGTCGAGAGTGCCGAGAAAGCGTCTAAACAGAAGCGGAGAGGAGATCGATATTGCGCCGTGATAACGATCGACGTGAAGAACGCATTCAACAGCCATCGAGGCCATCGCCGAAGCACTGCATGGAATGAGGGTTCCTGATTACCTGTGTAGCATTATAAGGAGTTACTTCCAGAACCGGGTTCTAGTCTACGAGACGGACATGGGAGAAAAATCAATCCGGATCACGACGGGTGTGACACAAGGCTCCATCCTTGGCCCAACGCTCTGGAACGTGATGTATGTACAACGGCGTGCTAACGCTGAAGTTGCCCAAATGAGTTGAGATCGTAGGATTTGCGGACGACGTCGTGTTGGCGGTAGTAGGCGAGACGTTAGAAGAGGTAGAAATGCTGGCAACCGAGGCGATCGACACGGTTTACAACTGGATGCAAGGAGCGAAGCTGCAGATAGCCCACCACAAAACGGAAGTGCTATTTGTCAGTAACTGCAAAGCTGTTCAGCGAGCAGAAATTACCGTTGGGGAGAACGCCATAGCATCAAAGCGCGTGCTGAAGTATCTTTGAGCGATGATCGATGACCGGCTAAACTTCAATAACCACGTCGACTACGCATGTGAGAAGGCGGCGAAGGCCAACAATGCGATAGCCACCCAACAAACAATTTTAGCTGCAGATCAGCTAATACAGACAAAAAATAGCTGCATAAGGTAATTTTCGGCTGTATAAGCTAGTCTGCCGCTAAAATTGTTAGTTGGGCAGAATCATGCCTAACAATTCTGGACCAAGCAGCAGCAAGAGGCGTCTTCTGGCTAGTGTATTGTCGTCGATACTGAGGTATGGAGGTCCAGCCTGGGATGCAGCGCTGAAAACGAAGAAGAACCAAAGAAAATTGAACAGTACGTTCCGCCTCATGGCCATGCGAGTCGTGAGTGCGTACAGAACAATTTCGACGGAAGCAGTATGCGTTATCGCCGGTATGATACGCCATCACCTTGGCGGAGGACACCGAATGCTATATGCGCAGAGATACCAGAGGAGTTCGAAAAATGGTGAGAACGGAGTCGATGGTTAAGTGGCAACAGGAGTGGGACGCAGCGGAGAACGGTAGATGGACACACAGGCTAATATCGATTCTTTCGACCTGGGTGAACAGGAAGCATGGAGAAGTCAACTTCCACTTGACGCAGTTCCTGTCTGGTCATGGTTGCTTCAGGAAGTACCTGCATCGCTTTGGACACACAACGTCACCCCTCTGTCCGGAGTGTGGCAACGTAGACGAAACGCCGGAGCACGTGGTTTTTTACTGCCCAAGATTTGAGGCAGTGCGAGTGGAGATGTCGGCTCTTAGCGCGAGAAATGTCGTCAGTGAAATGTGCCGGGATGAGAGGACGTGGAGCGTCGTCAGCAGGGCAGTGACGCAAATTTTGTCGGAGCTGCAGCGAAAATGGAGAGATGATCAGCGAGTTAGCAACGCCGGCAAGCTGAGCTAAAGAGAAGTGCTTGAGCACAGCCCCCCCCCCCCCCGACGAAATACTCTAAGGGAGTTCCGGGGGGATAGTGGCTAGAGGCGAGTAAGGTTTTAGTGATTAAAAGTCTCACACTGTGCCAGAAGGAGAACAAACACGCAACACAGTGACAGGCCGGGCTTTTGAAGCTTTCCTTACTATAAAAAAACACACACACACACACACACACACACACACACACACACACACACACACACACACACACACACACACACACACAGCCATCTTAAAAACTGAATGCAAAATCCCAAAACCACAAATGACAAGAATTTTCGTAGACGCACACATAAGAAAATCATTTTTTTTGTGCCCGCTAAACAGAAATGCACTCAATTTGAGTTGACTTCTTTTTGCTTGTTTCACCCTTTAACGTTTACATATGCATGATATTTTCAGAGAAGTTTTATGTATTTATTACCTCTAAAATTCTTTTGAACATTGTACACCGAAAAAAAAACTGATCCGCGAAAGTTACAAGCAAAAATCTCCAACCGCAATGACAGCGGCAGCAGAAAAGCCCGATCTGAGTAAGCCTACTTGTCTGATTGAAAACTACTTAAAACCAAATCGACTTCGGTTAGTTAGGCATTTTGATGTCATTTGTGACAACTGTTAAACTTGTCGTTTTCTTCCGCTTCTGTGACTGTTTTGTAATTCTACAATGTTTAAGAAAGAAAAAAAAAACTTTTATTAGAATAAGTCTGTCTCGGTCACAACGACGCAACGACACCATAAACCTATTGAACCAGTTTTACTCAGGTGAGTAACCTACCAACCGAGGGGCCGCATCCGGTTGAATTGGTCCGTTATGTCTCGATTCAGCGACCAAAACAACGCACGCGAAACAACAATCAAAAATTACAATTCCTGCCTAATTTATTGCAATTTCGTGTGGAACTTTAATGCTGAAAATTCCAGCTGAAATATTAATGAATTTCCTCCTTACAATCACTGTCGAACAAACAGCAGGGCCTGATTTGTCGCTCGAGTGATGGACAGGCAGACAAGATTTCTTCTTCTACTATTATTCCCCCTGAGCCACAAATTGTTCCAGCATTCTGGTCCGGTCAGCAGTCTACAAAAATACAGGAAAGAACAAATCGAAAACAAGAGTAAAAACTTTAATTTATACCCCGATTTCAATTGTTGCTTGTTTTGTCCGCTCCGTTCATTGCGCGGAACGAGAAGAGAACGCATTTTTGTCGTAATTTGTCATTTGTTTAATTGGACAATCTTTCCACATAAGTTCACGCGCACGATTCAGCTACACCGCGGACGGATTCAAGATGGCGACCGAAGGCATTTTTATAATTTTATTTCGATGTACGATTTTTGCGCTCGAAGTGAACAAAAAGCAAAACACAAAAGATGAAAGCGGATTCGTCATTTTCAGTTCACGCGTTCTGGACTGGAAGCTGACGAAATTGTGGTTCTCCAATTTTGCCACTCTCCTCACTTATTGCGCGGTTTAGGAAGGTGACTTCCGAATGGTTGCAGCTCAGTGTATGAGTGTGTATGTGTGTGAGGCAAAAAGTGCGGAATTTTAACAAGATGTTTATTTTTATTTCAAACAATAAGAGAATGCCAGTTGCATTTTAAGTTGACTTGGTCAGAATTCGGTGGCAGTTTCCCCGGTTTTGAGCGTTGAATTTGATAATTGCCAACTGTTTTGTCAGTTTGTTATTTGTAGATTTTGTCATTGCTACACCAAACCGGGCAATGAAAGATTCCCTTCTGTTTGCACAAAATACATGCGGCGTAAATGCAGTACGATATTTTCGTTTCAAATCGAATTTGATTATCAAAATCATGATCAGATTTTCATGAAACTTAGTAAATTTGTTCGGTATGGCAATCATTCAAACTTGTGCTCAAATTAAGTCATTTTTGATTATTATTATTATTATTTTTTTGTTCCATAAACAATCAATATGAAACTAACGATTTTAAATTGGCTCATTACCGAGGGCGACGACTCTATCTACGATGCAGGAAATATTGTGTTTTGCTGTGGCTAGCTGCGCGCACGCTGAGTAGATAGAGAGAAGATTGATAACGATTCTGAAGATTTCCTGCAAAAAGATGATGCGCGATGCAAGTAGATGCAACAAATGAAAGAAGATTTTTAGAAGATTGATTTGCTAGTGTCAGATTTGTTGAGCAATGGGACTAGCCTATTGGTCGAATGTACATCTATAAGCTTACCTCATTATCATACTAGAATCTGTGTTTATTTTGATTTGCCTTATAAATTAACCACTTCATTCGAGCAGTTAAAATGACATTTACTACCACTCGAACTTTGAAATAAAACATTATTTTGAGATGTTTTCTTCTAGAACCACGAGGAATGTAGCCATTGTTTGTACGTTTCATAAAAAAAATAGAAATTGGTTGGTCCAGTTTTATGGAATCGCTGGTAGAAAGTCACGCCAAAACTGCTTGACAAAGTGGTCAATTTGACAGAGTTTAATGAGCGGTTCGTGGATT